ATTAATAGATTTTTTTGAATCTAATAAACAATTAGAACATCTAAAAGAAGCACAGCAATCTTTACAAAGAGATACAATATATGAGATTATACATGATGTTGATACTAGATGGAATTTGACTTTTTATGCTTTATGTCATTTGTATATTCTCAAATTACTTATTCAATGGCTTGCAAATATATTAAATCATGATGCTAAAAGTAATATTCGTAATGATGGTATTAAACTTCAATCTAAACTTTTAAATGAAGATGAATAGAAAACACTTTATCATTTAATTCATTTATTATATGAATTTAAACAAGCTATAGCTCTTCTTAGTGGTTCAAAATATGTAACTTTAAGTTCTATATTTCTTATTATGCAACAATTAATTAATAATTTGTGAAATGATTATTTGGATCTTGATAATATAACTATACAAGCTATTTGTAATACAATTTTAACAGATATGGAAAAAAGATTAAAAGTTTCTTATAAATATACAATAATGATATTATTTTTCGATCCACGATTCAAATTATTAAAATTTATTGATGAAGTAAGTTTTGATTTAATTTTTATTTTATTTAGTTTTAAATATTATGATTTTTAATATTTATAATTAATTATTATAGAATGAGAGACTTGAAATTATTGAAGATTTGCGTCAAGAATATCAATAACTTTCTTTAGAATTACCAACTAATCAACAAATTTAAGTACCAACTATTTTACAACAAGATGATTCTTATATTAAAAATAATTTTAATGAATTTATTGTATAACAAAGATCAAAACCAAACTTAGCAGCATTTTTTAAATTTACAGAAACACAAACTCCTATTTTAATTTCTGAATTTGATAATTATTTATCAATTTCTAAAATTCATATTTCAAATCATGAAGAATTCGATCCTATTAACTAGTAGAAAGCTCAAAAATCTTCTTATTCAACTTTATGTCAACTTGTATATAAATATTTAAAGATTCTAGCATCTTCAGTTCCCTCAGAATGGGTCTTTTCATATGCCAGAAATCATGTAACTATAAAAAGAAATCGTTTAGATCCATCTCTTGTAAATTAACTTCTATTTTTGAATCAGAATATGACATTTATAGAAATTTTTCCTGAATTAATATAAAATATTTCTTTTACATACATATTAATTATTATTATTTTTTTATTATTATATAACTTATATTGCATATATACTTCTTATTCATAGCTATTTTTTAAATTTAAGATATTATACTTGGTAGTTTATATGTAATCAAAGCCAGTGTCTAAAATTTAGTATCAAGAACATAGATATGCTACACATAACATATAGATCCTGGTATATTGTAGCATACATAGAATTTTTTAAGTATGCGCAAAAAAAATAGCTTAAATAAGTAGCACAATCATTTTATTATATAACTTCATTATAATAAATTTATCCATTTTTAAAGTTGATGTAAGTTCAAATCTATAAATTTAAAATTTTTAATATGCGCATTGTGTTTATAATTTTAAAACATATATATATCTTGCATATATATTGTAAATCTTTAAGGTCAAAGTGTAAAAAAAATAAAGCTACGTATTAAAAATTATATGCTATTAATTGAAATACGTAGAATTGTGCTAACTTGGAATTTATATAAGTAAATTCTAACATATATAAATTGAACAAAACCTTAAATTTATTCAAATTGATTAAAATTTCAAAATTGCAAAGTTTGTTTGTACATATATTCTATGTTAAATTATTGTATATATGCATAATATAGATAATGGCAACTCAGTCTATTGATATTTGCTATAAATTTATTTATATTTATTCTACTTTTACAATTACAACTTTATATTGCCGAAGCCTTTGTATACTTATAGAAAAACTCGAAAATTTCAAAGTTTAATTGCATGTAATTTTAAAATTATCTGAATTATAACAAATTTAATAACAAAACTTATTAATTTAATAAAGTGATATTTTTGGTCCAATAATGATTTTGTACAAAACTCTTAAAATTTTATTTAATAGATCTTGTAAAACAGAAATTGTTTTACAATATCAATTCGCATATTTTTTCAAAGAATTTGACAAAATAATTTTTTAAATAAATTGTATAATTAGTCAACTAGTTATAAACTTAGTCAACTAACTAGTTAACTAAAAAATTTTAGTCAATTCCTATCACTAGATAAGGTTCTATAAGCTTTTAATTAAATATTATCTTAATATATATTTTATTAATAATAAAAGCTATAATTAACAGCACATATTTGCATTATTTAAATCTCGTTGCCTTGCTTAGTATTTTATTATTATTACCAATGGTCGAACTCTTTTATCAATTTCAATATAGCTCCTTATTAGTTGTGTATTGTAAATTTCAGCAGTATTATTAATATTAATATCACATGCTAATTTTCTGTGATTAATAATCGAAAATAAAATAAGCTTAAATTTGATATAATAAAATATTAAAATTTCATATTTATGCACAAAATTGTATTACAAAATCTAACAATAGAAACTTTAGCATTTGGAATATACTTAACTGAATTCATTTGATCTATTTTTTTAATGTACAGATGATTAATTCATATTCTTAACACAAAGTAATAAATCTTACACATGTTTTTTTAATATATTAGCCAATATAAATACATCTAACTCTTTAGATTGTGTTATAATACATAAATCTACATCAGATTTTGATGTTCCAAGTAGGTTCATGAATAATCTTTACAGATAAATAAATATAAATTTTAATTATTAATAATTTTAAAATTTATAATTTTAATTATAATTACCCAAATAAATGAATATTTATATGGTAACCAGGTCACTCTTTATTTAAAAATATCTTAATTTTATTGGCAAACAAGTTTCTTTGAATCAAATCTTTACTTGTAAGGATTAATTTCTTAAAATATAATATATTACAAATAAGTATTGAATTGTATAGATTTAAAATCTTAAGATTTGCATATAAAATTTTAGTAATTAAATTCTTTAAAAGAAAAAATCTTTACTTTGAACAATTCAAATATTTTTAAAAAAAGAGTGTCTTTAAAATCTTGATCTATTTGGTACTTTGATGAGCATTTAATATATTTATGCTCTTCCTTATAACAAAAATAATATTTCTTATTTTGAGAAATAGATTACATAATTATAAGTTTTTTGTTAAGTGAAAAACTTGAATCTTTAATAAAAAATTTTATTTTATTTGAAGAAATCTTTCTTCAAGAAAGAAATAATAAATTAATTTATTTTACATTTCGATCGTATTTACTTATTGACTCAAATAATACAATCTATTTACAATCAGATGCTAATACTCATTAAATCATCAAACAAAGCTACTTTCAAGATTAAATACACGTCATAGTAGATATTAATGACAGTAAAATTATTTAAATCTATACTAAATTACAATTATTAATATACTATAATTGCATCTTATGATAAATTGTTGAGTTTTTCCTTAAACAATGATATCAACTAACTTTTTTAATATTCTTATTTGAAGAGTAAAAAAAACATTAAAAATGTATCTGTATATTGTTATATTATTAACTTTATGCTGATTTAAAGATGATTATGTGCTGGAGTTAAGCACTGTTTTAAGTTATAGCCGAATTAAAATTGGTTTCTGTAATTTAAAAATGTGTATAACACATTTCTAGATACTGTACAAGTGAATAGTTCAGAATTTATAATAAACTAATAAGTACTTGAAATATTAAACAAATTCTATAGCTATTAATATAAAATATTATTTAACTGATTAATCACATAACTTATTTTAGCATCTGCTAGTGCTAAAATATACATATAACTAAGGTGTCCTGTTAACCAAATTATATCGATATGTGGTCACTTTGTTTTAAAAAAAATTTTGTTTATTGTAATCAAAAACTTAGGTGGTTAAGAGATACCTTATGATAGAATACTATAGTTTAATAGTTAAAAATAGTTTAAATCGAATAGTATATAAAACAGAAGTTACATTTTTTGATATTATATATTTATTGTAGCAAATTAAAATAAAATCAGATTAAAATAAAATGAGCAATAGTGTAAAATAGACAAGCTACCAAAAAATACAAATTTTTTTGGGTACATTTTTTAGTATTTTTTTAGAGTTGGAATTAGGTTTTAGAAAGCAGGTTTTATAATAAACAAATATAAATAAGTTTTAGAGAGTCAAATAGAAACCCACATTTCATTTTAATCTGATTTCATTATAATTTGCAATATTTATTAAAATCAAAAAAGTAAATTCAGACTTTTGTCTCATGTGACAAGCTTGAAGTTATCCTGTTTGATTTTAATAAATTTACTTCATTTTTTTTATTAAATTGGTTAGTCTGCACTATTAATAAATGTATTTTATAATAACTAAATCTATGAATAAAGAAAGTATAAATAAGCAACACATATAAGAATTTTAATAAAAGGTTTAAACTATAAGAAAAATTCGAATATATAAATAAAAAACAAATTTAATTGTAAAAATTTAAACTACATAATCTTAAAAGCTCTCTTCTAATTTCTTTAAGCTTTTATCAGATAGTTTATAATAATCAATATTACTTGCTAGTTCTTTCTCTTTGATCTTTT